GAAAATTTGTATTTCATTTTTTTAGTGGTATCTTACTGGTATTTTTAATGGTATTTTTTTTTAAACTTGCAGTTACGTTTCTTTTCTTTTTCTTTYTTCTTTTTATTGTGCGCCTGTCTGTGATAACCCATCGTAACGTTTCTATTTTTCGACGACAATAAAATCTTTTGGACCTGCTCATAGTCTGACAGAACAGTCTCTTTTAATTTTTTTCATTCGGTAAATACTGCTGTGTTTTATAACTATAACTCATTTTCACAGGCTAAGCCTCGCTTAACAATGTTTAGTAACCTTGCGGATTTTTTATGGTATCTTTTAATAGCTGAGTTACAAATGAGGCTAAGCCTGTGCGAATGAGTCTGTGGTCTTCAAAAACAGCGGTATGCATCGATGCTGTATTAGTCAAAAACAACGTCTTCAGATTACAATTACAAAGATATCCAAACTTCCCAAAACGCAAACATTCGATTGCCAATCGTTTTATCAGTCAGCATGCACTATATATGTAATGTGAAAAACTGTATTCCATGAGGAGCCTAGCATATACATCGATGATATGGGTTATCCGCATATAGCCACAACTTTCYGTAGACAAGAATTTGTAATCAAAACTCCAGGCACTTTTTTTATGCAGGTTTAAATAAAAACCAGTGAAACTGGCATTTTAACTATGATTAAGATTTGTAAAACTATAAAAACACATGTTTCTAATAAAGTTTAAGTTAACGAATGTAGTATGATTGGTTAATTAACAGCAGAAAAATGAGTTAAGCCACTATTGTCCCATTTTATGTCATTTCCTTACTGTGCGGACACACTATAGATAAAAAGACTTTAACCAATAAGGAGAGAGYAAAATGAGTATATCATATTGACCTCGGCCAATCACATGCACAATCACTCATTCCCAAGGTTGTTGAATACATCAAAGCTTTTTTCTCGTTGCTTGAACCTGATTGGTTCAAGTTTGACTTAAGTTCGATTCTTTTGTTTTCACTCTATGTCGTGATTGGTGAACTTTCTTCAAGTGTTCCCGGTCAGTGTGTCTGCACAGTAAGTACAACTTCGTCGATCTTTTTTTGTAAATGGCGTGGAAAGCATTGAGGTCTATTAAACCATCTGATATGAGAAAATGGCAAAAAYTTGCAAAACAAATGTTAAATATTGCATTTCCAGGCCAACGAACGAAAACGAAATGGATAATAATGATAACAAAATGGACGTTTCGAGGTCCTCATAACACCATTTTCCTGAGCTTACAGAAAAGGATGCAAAGAAAACTAAGGTTAAATGACCCATTTGCACATGCTTAGTGTCGTTTATAAGTAAACTTCTCACAGACACCGACACGAGTGAAAAACGTCTGCGCATGCTCCGAATCCGTATGCAAATTAGTCAAAACATAAGTACATTTGACTTTCAAACATGCCTGATAAGTTGGACTTCACGAAAAGCCAAAACTTAGTGTCCATGCTTGAAACTTAAGGCTAATWTTTTCATATTGTGTTTGTTAAGACAGTATCTTGATCTGACAAAAGTATACTCTCGAACTTTTTTGTATACTTGGAGAAAACAAACATTTATTTTCTCACTCTAACTCTTCAAAATTCTTAGAAAACGTGCTGAAATGCACGCATGCGCAAACGTTTTTCTCTAGAGTGTCACAGACACCTTAAAAGTCAGCTAAAGTCCTTGACATTTCGAAACATAAGCTTCCTGTTGTTAAAGCCTCATGATTTTTTWCATTATTTTTGACTGTTGCAACTGATTTGCCCTATAAAAGCGAGGCTAAACCTGTGTGAATGAGTCTAAAAACACAGTGGCATTACGCAATGAGAAAAGAGACTATTACGCTTGCTCTTTTCATATATCTATATACCTTTCCTCATGTTTTGCAAAATAAATAGCTAGATATGTAGCTATTTATAGTGATGACATGCACTTGAACCGTGAACATTGTTTTTCAAATTGAATCAGTAAATCATCCCTTGAGTGAGCCAAGAGATTGGAAGAAATGATTCAGTGGAGACAATCGTTATGGAGAGAGTCTGAACARAGAAGAAAGACTAGAAAGTCCAGAAAACAATTACTTTGGGGCGAGGGGGAGTACAAAAAAAAACTTGTCCTCATCGTAAAGTTTCCAAGTCAATAACAACTTGAGACACTTTGCATGCTTTAATACTCGCTTTGAATAATCCCTTATTATTGTCTTTATTTTGCCTAAGGCAAAGAAATAATTGCACGTTTACAAACTAGTTATATTACTGTTTATTATTCCTATATCTTCGCTTCTATCTATTGTAAAAAAATGATTTTAGGATTAAATTAATACAAGTTTAATCAACGTTGGATGAATATAGTTCTTTTATATTTATTTCTCGTCAAACGTAGTCAGACTAATTATAAAATAATGCAGTCATGAATGACTAAGAGACACTAACGGGCCATTCAATTAACTCTCATACCAATGATATGAATAATTTAGTCTTCTTATAAGGGAATTAAGTGGACAATCGATCTTTTAATTGGGTAATAGGCACGAAAACTATATAAACACTTATGTTCATGACGTAAGTTTGGCAAATTAATGGTTGCGAATCTAACCTCACTCACACCTTTTACATTTTGGATTCCAGTGCACTGCTTTGGACTATAAATTAGTAAAAAAAAAAACTCATAACTTTATACAGTTTTGTGTCAACGTTTGACTTTCAAAGTTAGCAAAGCCGGGCATCAAAAGCTTTGAGTAGTGGGTTTGAAGGCTCAAGAAGAAAGATGCACTCGAAAAAAAATTGGTTGGTTTGTTGGTGTTATTGTAGTTGCGTATTGGTTGTCCAACGGTGAGTCTTTCAAAACAATCAAACTTTAACATTCATTTGAAATTCAAGACTGCTGAGATCAATAAATGTTGCAAATGTTCATCAAACATATGAACTCATTTTCTGCAAGATCCATATGAAAATTGTAACACACACCAAATGCCTTTAAGCAAGGCAAGTGTATCAAGCATTGGGAGTGTTCACAATTTGTGCGAATGCATACGATGTTCGAAATTTATCAACTTTTTCACAGACTTTGAAACTTTAGCATGAGGTTCTTTTGTTTTATGGACAAAAAATCCGTGAAAATTTTAAAGTTTTTTAAATTGCGTAGCAAGATGTAAACAAAGCGAATTGTGATTTAATTATACTGTCCAAGTAGAAACTATGTATTTGACGAATCACCGTCTTTAACTATTGTAAAATAGTCTTAGACTTCAAATTTCAATAGAATTCGGTTCTAAATTTTTACTCGACAAATTAAAAAACCAGTAGAACAAAAATTGAGAATATTTTTGAACGGCGTAGCAAGCAAGATAAGGGAATGTATAGGGGTTATGATTAAGGTCATGAAAATAAAATGTTTCACTCAACAATTTGCCTCAAAACTTGTTGCAGTCGTTGCTTTTACTTTGTTCAGTCTTCTGGAGAAGTTTCAGCGCGATTTGAGGCCGTTTAGTGGGTTTTTTCAAAATCTGCTCTTCTTATTCTCTCTTATTTAGGTAGGAACCTTGTTTGGGCTGCCTGTACGCTATGTGATAATGACAATGTTTTGTTTGATTGCAGACGCATGCACCGTAAAACAATGACTAAGAACCAATATTTTTTCGGGGGGCCAGGCCCGACCCCCCCCCCATTTGGGGTGGGGGCACGTGCCCCCCCGGCCCCCCCCCCCCCCCCGGTTCCGCCGCCCATGAGACTCTCTTGACTTGTTCGCAATCAATCAAAATTTTGAATGTTTGTCTTGTATTAAAATGTTGGAAAAGTGCGAAATGGCTTTCTTCACGGCAGAAAAGAAACTAATCAGCCATTCGTAGTAAAACAAATGATTATTGAATTATTATTTCTATTATTTTTTATATATTTAATTTAATTAAATTAATCAATTAATTAATTTTTTCGGTTTGAAATTTGTCTGCCTGTCTGAGTTGGTTTTACTATTTTTTTTATAGAAAAAAACCATTTAACATTTGCGGATAACTATACATACATAGTCAGATAAAAACTTAGTATTCTTAGATTATGATTTGGATTAAAAGAACAATAAAAGGCAATACTCTTGCGTCTCTGAATATCATTTTAGTCGATGAACCGTGGAAATATTGGTCCTCATGCAGTGCTGTATGCTATGTCTTAAAATAAATGTCATTTTTATACCTCACAAATAATCCTCTAATCACATCTCCGTATTTTAGTCACGTTGTGATCCATTATTTTGCAATATTGGACATCAAGCTATTTGTATAAGAAATCGCACGATCTCGAGTACAATGCGGAATTTAGAGGTATGAGTGATGTTTTGAAAGTTTTCAAAATTGGACGAGCCTTTAGGCGAGAATTCATGCTGCTTTATTTTCATTTTTTTAATTATTTTTTTAATTCTTTATATATATATATATATTTATTTACCGACCTCCTCCCCTACTATTTATATGACATTTGAATGTTTTTGATGAAGAAAAGAGAGAAAAAAAGCGACATTTTCTATTAAATTTAGCTTGTTCTTCTACCTGTTATTGTCGTATACAGTCAATTCAAAAAATGTTGTCGTCGACCRRCTCAAGCCTACGCGACTGGACCGAAAGGAACTCTGGGTAGCAATCATTGAAGACGAATTGACTCCATAATTTTATCTGACTAGTTATGCCTGGTTTACAGCACGAACCTTCGTAGGCGAGCGGGAAGTGTTGAAGGAGACGTTCATTAATGTCTTCATATTTCGAAATTGTGAACTGAATCATAACTACTTTGTTTTTCTTTCACTAAACCCAAAGACATGCATTTGAAGGATTGTTTCTCGCCATTATTATCTTATAACTAGCGGGAACAATTAATTCAGAACGAATATTTAACCGCTTCATTGGTTTTTACCCATATTTCTTTCGGTCCAGTCGCGTAGGCTTGAGCCGGTCGACGACAACGTTTTTTGAATTGACTGTATAATGACAATACAAACAAGCAAAAAAAAATAAAAAAATAAAAAAATTTTCGCACTGTAAATACGCAAAAGAGAAACTTATCCTAATCAATCTACACTATTTGAAATGTCTTTGCTCAAAAATTTAGAAAAAGGGGACCATTTCTTTTCGAAAGATAGTTGTGCGCATTTTGATTT